TGCTTTCTAATGCTTTCTAATGCTTTCTAATGCTTTCTAATGCTTTCAATATATTTATAATTCATTTGCTTTTTGTCTATTCAAAAAATTAATCCTGCTTTAAATTCTATAATAATAAAATTTATTTAACCAACAACACTAAGTCTACAATGATCTACTTAATTTTATTTGATTCTTGAATTTTTAATATACTTAAAGTTTTTATGAATAACTATTTTATTCTCATATGACTGAGTTCATCGAAGTTTTTTTGTTTTTAATATTAAGTATTTGATGTATTGCATACTAAGAATGATTTTACTAATAAATGATATGTCTGCTATGTGTAACTGAATATTAGAATATATCGAATTATTTTCAAAAATTGTTAAAAACTAACTAGATATGAAAGAAATGTTTTAGTAAAAGAATTATATCCACATGTATATTACCAAGTATATTGTTTTCATTGATTTGTAATTAAAATCTTTTATGTAAAATATGTTTAGATTTGATAAAAAAATATAATAATACAACACGTTTATTTTATTTATAAAACCTATGTTTGGATTTGGTATGTGTGTGTATTCATTCTACTTTATTCATACTATAACTTATGAGTATCTAGTCAAATACATTAATGTTATGGACAAAAGAAGAAAGATAGTTTCAGAAAGGATAGAATGAAACGGGTCGATTTATTTACTTGTTGTGTGTATTTCTAATACAATAACAGTGACCTTGAACGTTAGAACCTAATTATTATAAGACAAAATAAATGTAAAAAAATGCACTCTAATACATGAGAAGAGTCATATAATTAAACAGCAGTGTATGTTGTTCCTTTGCTCGTAACTTTTCGAAGGGTAAACAAAATCCCATCTAAGGCGTAACCAGGCAATGCAATCCAAAATTGACGATGTGGAAGAATATTAATACCAGATTCGTGGCGTTGAAATTTATTGAAAGTCATGAAACCAATCAAGTAAATCGTTGTCAAAATCACTAATATAAGAATAAAAACGGCTCCACCACCCAACTTGTTTGGTAGCTTAGGAGGGGTAGGACCGTCTAAAAGAATATTTTAATAATAAATTATAATATATATCACATTCTTTACTTTTACAACCATCCCAACATGCACATTCAGATGATAATGTCATAGTAAATATCTTTGCCACAGAATCATATCCATGAACTTCTAATTTGTTCGGTTCTCCAGGTTTCAAACAATTTAAGTATACCGACAATTTTCTTTCTAATGAGTTGTAGACTAGAGTCACTATATCTTTACCCGTTTGAACTTCCCATTGCATACTATTTTGATTTCCTAATGAATATACTAATTTTTCGTCTGTTTCGTATGCTAAAAGAAGTTTTAAGTAGTCCTATTTAAAAAAATCTAGCAACTATTTTTCTTACCCTGACAGGCTGCAACATTTATGCATGTATATTGAGTGAACGAATGACATGGATTGTAAGAGTAGACTAGAAAAGTTTTAAATTATCTTTAAATAAAAGTCTTATTTGAATACAAACTACCATGTTTATCGCTTATTTCAGGATGTACATTTTTCCATGCAGGAGTTCCATCCATACGACCAACACTGGTCAAATCAATGATACCTTTTGGATTCAAATTATAAATACAAGGAGTTAGTGCATTTAATTGATCTCGTAGACATAAAGCCAAAACAAACGATAGGATAGAAAAAATATTCTTTCGTATATTCATTTTCATTTACTTTTACACGAGTGACAACAAAGACTCTTATCTTTTCTACTTTTTTTTTCATCCAAACATTTTATCAGTGGTATAGAAGAATGACATCACAAAATAAATTTAACATTTATCATAGAGGGTCGTCCAAAACGTTATAAAAACTAGAATGTAGTTTGCGAATGCTGACTTAGCATTACTGCTAGAAAAAAATTGCTAATGCTTTTTCATTAAGTTAAAAAATTAATTTAATGCTTTGGCATTAGTAATGAATTAGTATTGGTATGATGCTAATACACTATCATAGTTATGCATACTTTTTTCAATTATGTTGTTTGAGTTCTAATATAAAACTCTATGTGTTCGTGAAAAGAAAGAAGAAAAAATAACGAATATATATTTACATAAATCCATAGAACCTAAGTCGCTTTATGAGATATTGATATTGTAAAATGAAAATTGAATACAAAAAATCATACCTAGTGAGAACATTGTATACTTGCTTGATTTTATTCGGATGGATAGTGAACTGAACATGTTGTTATTATACAAAGAAATAAGAACATAACCTTGTTTTATTATGTTGATGATTATGTAAATTTTTATCATGTATATTCTACTTCTATGCTTATTTACTATCTTAGAGCGCAACAAAAACGCATCGTACTCGTCATCGTATGTAAATTATATTGGATAAAAAATATTCGTCGTAAGAAATTAATTAAATATTAGTGTTATATGTGAATATAGATGACGGTGTCTCTTCTTTTCAATAGCCATACACCCACACCCACACCCACACGCGCACCCGCACCCACCCTCAAGATAAAATTTATCTAATAACTGATTTTTGTCTATAATATATTTTTGTGCTTTGTAAACCACTTTTTTTATTCAATAAAATTATTCTAAGTTATGTGTGCACATTTTTCACATACATTTTTTTACGATCTGAACAATATGGGATGCGATAACAAAAGCGAATGTTATTGATTTCGGTAATTTCAGAAAACATAGATAATATAAGACAAATGGAAAAAGAATTATCATGAATTTAAAGGTCTATAGACGCTCAATTTTCTTTATCATATATATATCATTAGATAAAACTATGGTTTAACTAATAGTATTATAACGGTACCAATTAAGTTAATACCAACTCCAACAATTCCAAGAATTGCAGCAACACCTAAACGTAGTTTAATACCATTTTGTGCAGTCATTGTAGCACTGATACCGATTGCAATAGCTATAATTCCCATGATAAGGCATGCCACAGCTAGACATTTTTTTGTTAAGATTAATGGTCGAGCTGAACGTTCACCAGATATTGCACAATATATAACCGATAATGTTCCACAAAAACCAGATAGAATACAAGCTAGAGTAATAAAAGCTCTAGCTGCAAGAATTTTATTGCAGAAACTGCTCGGGAAGTCTTCTGAAGGACATGATACATCTGTGCATGTCGTATCATCAACTGTGGAATTACACCAACGCCAAAGACCATATGTAATGTTTCCAAAGTCATTTTCTGTTTCACTCCTAAAAGATATAAAACAAAAGAATTAATTATATTCATTATTATCTTATTGATATCCTCTTTTTTTTAAAAACAATTTTTATGTTGATATTTTAAAACTATGTGGATTTATATAAATCCTAAATATAAAATTTCGGACATACCACGATGATAGTGCATTGCTCAGAATAAAAAGTATAAACGCTGCTCCAATGAGAGCTCCACCAATGATGAGTAATAGTTTAAAGTTATTTGCCATAGTCTGCAAGGTGAATATATAAAATTCTTCTCTATTGTTTTTAATAATGTTGAATTACAATGAAACGCACGCGTAATAAACAGAGATCTGATCTTGAGCCTACTCCTATTGATAAGAAATAATCTCACAATAAAAATAGCAAGTTATAAAATATATTTACTAAGTATTTTATTGTTTCAGTAGATGTTTCAAATCATTGTAATATAGTATAATTCATTTATATTGACATATAAAACTGTTTGTCATAAAATCGAAATTGATAAATATAAAAGCAGCAGTTTTGTAACGAAGGACATTACAAAGGTGAGAATATGAATGTTGACGTGTGTTTATAGTGAATGTAATATTCATAATCTCACGCAACAATCAATTCTTAAATCAAATTCTTCTTTTGTTCAATTTTAGACATATCCATAAAATAAAACTAAACATTAGATCGTACGAAATTGAATAAGATTTTACATAGAATGAGTCGCTCATATTGTATAGCTTATGAGTATGTATATGGATGTTGGTGAAGAGAGGTTCGTACTTATTTATCCAAACTCGTAAATAACAGCAGTAATTAGTCATTATACCATCAATAATTGATTAAAAAACTATAAAAAAAAACTATTACTATAAGTTCAATTTTAATGAGAATGTGGATAATGTTTGGTGCTGAGTATGGTACCTCTGCCTATATCATACCAAACTATTCATCTACATCCTCAAAATAATAATAAAACGTCAGTGGATGACTATTATCGTATTATGAACAAAAAAAACTTTATAATAACAAAGAAAAGATGTGCATATGAAGTTTTATAACTATAAATCAGACTAAATAGAATCTGATTCATATACCACTTTAGTGAAACTACTCATTCGGCGGCTATGACTTTTCATCTCGAGTCCTCGTAATATAATAAAAAAATAGAAAAAATCTTTTAATGCATTAATTTCTTCGGAAAGATTCAATATTTTTAATTTTATTTTCCAGACTGATTGTAAAATGAAAGACAATTAATGACTTTTATTACAATTTTAAAATAAGAAGATCTGTAAGCAGATTGTGAATGAAAAGCTTCTTCTTATAATTTAGCTTTTGTGAATTTTTAAATGAGTATAAATTATTTTCAATGTCAACTAATACTGTACGTTGGTTTATTGCTAATCTAATGATGAAAAATTGATATATCGATATTCTATACGTTAAAATATGAAGGTGATATGAAATGTTGTTTTATCTAATATTTTACTTAACGTTTATCAAAAATGAATGAGTATTCAATTCGAAGTCTATTTTCTAATGTTTATATATGTTATTCCTAAAATACATTCTGTTATATCGATTTGAGTGTACTATTTATACTATCAATAATAATAATAATATTTGATGTTTATCTTTTATATATGATATAGAAAAAACGATTAACAACTTATGACATCTTTATCTAAAGTAATTAAAAATAAAAGAAATATTTTTCGAAAAAATACATATATATATTAAATTAAAATGTCTTTTTTCAATTTTATCGATTACAATAACAAAGAAGCTTTTTAAAATAAGTTTAATATAAATTGAACTGATATCATAAAATACAACTCGTTCATATACTAATTAATATTTTTTTCCCTATTCTTTTTCTTTCTCCTGTCATCTATATTTTTGCATCGTCGCATATATATATATATAATATAAAAGACGTTGCAGTTTAGTTTTGCTTCTTTATGCAACATACACATAATATAAGTATTGAAATATATTATTTATTTAAGATTTTTATATAAGAATAAATTTAACAAATAAAAATGTCTGGAAATGTATCCGAACGTCAGTTAGGTAAAAATGGTCCACAAGTATCATCTATTGGATTTGGAGCAATGGGTTTATCAGCATTTTATGGAACACCAGCTTCGGATGAAGAACGTTTTAAAGTTCTTGATCGTGCTATAGAGCTTGGTAGTACTTATATTGATAGTGCTGATATTTATGGTGATAATGAAGAATTAATTGGAAAATATTTCAAAAAATATCCACAACAACGTGACAAGGTTAGATCAAATAGTTCGTTTTTTCGTGAGATATATACTTTTAACTGAAAAAAAGATAATGGTTGTGTCAGATGCTCAAAAGTGACAAGATAATTTAATTCATGTTACTGACATGTGCGTTCTTTAGCGTCATATTATTTTTCGACCTTGCATAGAAATGTCTTTTATGCTTACAAATGATTATAAAATAGAATTTTTCTTTTAACTAGATATTCTTAGCGACAAAATTTGCTAATATTTTTTCTTCAGATCGAACAGCGTCAGTTCGAGGTGATGCTGATTATGTTCATCAATCGATAGAAAAAAGTCTTAAACGTCTTCAACTTCCTTATGTTGATCTTTATTATGTTCATCGAATTGATTCCAAAGTTCCAATTGGAGAAACAATGAGTGTATTAAAAGAACTTGTTGAACAAGGAAAAATAAAATATATTGGTTTATCTGAATGTTCAAGTGATACAATTCGACGTGCATATAAAATTCATCCAATATCTGCGGTACAAGTTGAATATTCTCCATTTAGTTTAGATATTGAACGAGAAGAAATTGGTGTTTTAAAAACTTGTGAAGAACTTGGAATAGCAATTGTTTGGTATTCTCCATTAGGTCGTGGAATGTTAACTGGACAAATTAAAAGTCCAGATGATTTTGAAGAAAATGATTTTCGTAAACATCTACCAAGATTTTCAAAAGAAAATTTTCCAAAAAATCTTCAATTAGTTGAAACATTAAAAAAATTTGCTGAAAATAAAGGTTGTACAACAGGTCAATTAACATTAGCATGGATACTTGCACAAGGTGAACAGTTTTTTGTTATTCCCGGTACCACAAAAATTAAGAATTTAGAAGAAAATGTTGCTGCTGTTAAAATTAAATTAACAAAAGAAGAAATTGAACAAATTCGACAAGCTTGTCAAAATGCAGATACTGCTGGTGAACGTTATACTAAAGCACATAGTAAAAATTTATATGGTGATTCAGCTCCTATTAAACAATAATATGACATTATAAATGAACGATTTTAAAATATGATTTTATTTTAGTTTTAGTTTTTAGATTTTAATATTTTAATCAAACTTTATACATTAGATTAAGCATTTTTGAAAATTTCTTTTAAATAAATCTATGATCATATTATAAAAGAAAAAACAATATATATGCACTTCATCGGAAGCCAAATTATGGAAAATGTGGACGGTAGAAATTCCGGTGATCTACCATTTCGAACATACCATTATCAATAAAGTGCATATCGGTCGTAATCATTTGAGAGCGTCGACATTTCAATGAGCAAACTAACAACTACATTTATCTGATGATAGCTATTGTTCTCCCAGCATATATACTTATGTGTAATGAGTATTCAAAAAAGAGATCCAGAAGGATGTTGCCGAAAGAAAGGCAGTCCATCTCAGTTTGAATGTTATTAATTTCGGCAATCTATGTCTTCGATAATGTTTGTTTCGAGATGAACTTCGACGGTCTGACTTTTCGGCGAAGAGATACACAAATCTCCATCGTTAGTTTCATTTAAGTTTTACATATTCATCATATATTGTGTTCTTGAATGTGTTTATTAAAAGAAACCTAAGAAAACTTCAACAAAAAAGATATAAAATGTATTAATAAAATTAACTTTGAGTTTTTTTTTAAATATTATTCTATCAAGCATATCACATAACCATATATCAAAAAATATCAATAAAATCAAACATTAAAAAGAAAAAATTAACAATAATAAATAGGATATGTTTACTTCTTTAAGAGATGGATCGATCGATTGATTGATTATTTTATTTGAAAAACATATCGAACGATCAACTAAAATACATCTCACCATCGTGCCCAAAACATTGGTTGATTTGTTGTACAATTAGCAGTTTGCTTATTAAAACTAATTGGGATATTTAGATTGATAAAATGACAATTAAAATGCCCAACAGCAGGTTCAGATGTGACGTACAATTCTGCTTGGTAACGATCTTTCTGGTCGATCTTTTCAAGTCTTGTAAGTCGATTAACATGTGAACATTTAGCCCACCACATGTTACCAGCATAATAAGTATTCCAGCCAGCTTTACGAACCCGATCGAAGGCCATTATGGCTCCACAAGTAGTATAATTTGTGGACAATAAGAGATTATAGCATAATTGCCAGTTATCCAAAACAAAATAATTTAATACACCTCTCCAGGGGCCAGTAGAAAAATCATGGACATGTGAAGCACCTTTAGAATGTGCATACCATACTAACGATCTATTGTTATGAAAACAGAATTTCTCTAGTTTCATTAATGTTGGATATTCGTATGATTGTGTTTTATTATCATATTCATAAATAAACTTTGAATTAGAAAATATATCATACGCAGTTTTATTATCATCAAATTTACCTAAGCCGGTAACATAAGTATTTGAACTTGAATTAAATAATCCACTACGAAAAATGATTGTCATTTGTTCATTGACTATATTTTTCCAGTTAGAACCGACAGTTGAAAAATGATAAAAACCAGCAATGGCAGGAAATCGAGAGTTTTTGAGAGAAATGTGTTTATTTAGAATAATTTGTTTAATTGGAAAAAAATGAAGATATACGAGAACACCACAGCTTCCAATAATAGCGATTATAAATAATTTCTTATAAATCGACTTGTCCATATTGAAAACGTCACGAGTTATATATCGAACAAATATTTATTCTGGAAGATAAAAAAACTATATAAGACCTTTGAAAAAAAAAGATTCTGTGTTTTTATACTGAATTAAATCTCATCTCTTATAAACAACAAATGTACAGGTTGATTACGTTACTTTTGATAGTTTTGTGTCGTTTACTGTATTTATGTAGTACATCGAATTCTTTTTATTTTAGTATAGTTAGATAGAGCATGAGCTACTCTATCAAATCATATAATTTGATTGTTAGTTTCTCTAGCTCTAGTCCAAAACTTTAACGAATGAAAAACAAGTACTAAGAAATTTTTTTAAAGCATTATACAGTAGGTTTAGTCAAAAGCTCAACAATAATCACGATCAGGTATATATTAATTGTGCATTCTTTTGTTTTCTAGAAGAAGTACAATTCAACGCAACCGACTTTTTACCATTGAAAAAACAAAATTTGTTTATAGGAATAGAAGAGTCTTTTTTTCAGTTTTGTATTTCTGTCACATAATATGGCTTTGTAGAAACAGAAAAATATACCAAAAGATGCGGCGCGAACAGTTCTACTATTTACACATTAAATCTTTTCTTTTATAATTGTGAAACAAGGTGAAAAAATGCTGTGAAACCAATTTTCTTGCATTCGAAATCCGGGTGCTTAAAATGTTGTCAAATTTTTTAGAAAAACAACTAAAAGTAAAAAAAACCGTTCCATGTAAGTTGTACAGCGTTTCACGCTGCATCTTTTGATATATTTTGTTTCAAAGAAATTTCCAACAAATGTGCTGATACAAAAAATAAAACATACCCTGTCTCTCATCTAATGCCTGCTTTTTAACAAAAGTTTTTTTTTTGTGTTGTATGAGATTCAACAAAATTTTATTATATGGCATCTACTTGAAATTAAATTAACTCTTTCACAGCGAGTGGTACATATATGTATTACTTTCTTTCTTTCTTTCTGTTCTCCCCGTTCCTTCTACCGCCTTTTCCATTCAAAATTTTACTATGAAAAGGGTTAAACGAATTGATCTAGACGGGAGGCAACAAGTATTATCGAAAAGAGAGAAGAAAAATCGTTCAATATATGATGTCAACGAGTGATCGAGATTACTATTAAGCATGGTACAAGCATTCTATCGATGGAAAAAATCCGAATAATAATCAGGGCAACAGCCTTAAAAAAATTTTCTTAGTGCTTGTTTTTCATTCGCTAAAATTTTGAGCTAGAGCTAGAGAAACTAACAATCAAATTATTTGATCTGATAGAGGAGCTCATGTTCTATCTAACTATACTAAAATTAAAAAAAATTCAATGTACTACATAAATACAGTAAACAACACAAAACTGTTAAAAATAACGTAATCAACCTGTATATCAAGAGACCCTGGAACAAATAATTACATATATAAATAAGTATTTGTAATCTTCCAAAAGCATATTTTTCCCACGATTACTGCTTTAATTATAGGAGATTTCTTGTAACAATGGTATATAATGTATACCACACTATATTATTGTTTATATTTTATTAATTACGAAGTTTGAGCACTTTTTACTAAAGCATAATATCTAATCACTATATGGTTATTCTAACGTATCTTGGGCTGACATGTATCTACATTTTGTGTGGTCTACATGTAGAAAATAATATGTATACTAAAGATAAATTATATTGTTTTTTAATATACTAACGCTGTTTTACGACTTGTTTTTACTAATATTTTTCTTTCTCTTCGTTGCTAACCATCAACGTTTTCATTGTTGTCAATATCAAATACTTATCATTATCTTTTTTTGTCAAGTTTAGCAAGAGAAGAATATCCTATTAGAAAAAACAAATAACTATTTCTTTCTTTATCTGTTTGTTGATGGTTCTAAGGAATATATCTTATATTGTAATGAATGTAACGTACCTTTTTCACAGACAAAGAGTAGAGTATATACTTTTTTGTTGAATATAACACAAACTAGAGCAATCATTTTTAACGATAGCGTCAAAAAGAAAGTTTTCTTCCTTTGTCACGCATACTTTTGTGTAAGTATATTTCTTTGAGAAAAAGAAGAAACGTTGCAGAATAAAGGTCGGAAAATTTTTTCCTTTCTTTAATTGCTTAAAAAAGAGAGAGCGAGAGTAACACAAAAAAAAAGCTTTTAACAGAACTGTCATTAGTTATATCATGTGATATGTGAAGAAATTGTTTCGATTAAGAGGAAAGTAAAATTTTTTCACAACTACATGACTATATCAATTATTCATTAATGGCGAGGATATCAAACGTTAGAGAATATTTGTCTACACTTGTCTTTATCTAATTATTCCACACAATTAAACAGAAAACACTTGTTTTTCTAAAAGCCATTTAAGAATATCAAACGTTTTACTTTTGAGAAGTGGGTGTGGATGATGAAGGTAATTATTCATACTCACCGTCAGCATGTTTTGGAGACGCTTAATTCTAGCTGTATCCATTAGTGTGAGATAGTGTTTTGGTAGATGTAGCACGGTGAATGCAAGAAGAATCAGTAAAGTCTAAATTTAACCAGATTAAAACTCTGTCGTGTTTTCAAAATACCACATCACTGTACGTATTTCTGATCTATTTTGGGTATGATAATAATTTCATTTCTGATTTAAATCAAACGAACATTTGATGATAAAATAAAGTTCAAGGTTAAAAACTCATTCTATATAGTTTTTCTCTTTGAACTATTTTGATAAATGCGATTGATTGATGATCAATTTCGTTGCCGATGAGTTTTCACAGTGTTTAATTTTCGGATAAGATAGACTGATCCGAGATGTGTTCGTTCTAATATTTAAAATTTGGGAACAAAATAAAATTTAACTATAATTTAATTATTATAAAACAAAAAAAAGTCAAGCGTCTTTTTGATAAAGTAACTGTTGAGTAATTAGATGATTAATACAAGACTTGTGATATTTCTAACATTATATGTTCTTTGTCAGCTGGAATTCACTCTATGAATATGCTCGTTTCTCTTTTTTTATTCTCCTGTTACATTTCTAATTAGAAATCAAGAATTTATGGATATAACTTGATCATCTTTTGATATAAACTTAAATTTGACAAACCGTGTTATTCGTAAAACGATATGACAATCTATATGAGAAATGAAGTTGGTAGTAGAAGAGCGTTTACTTTTGAAATAATATAATTTTACTAAACAAAATATTTCAAATTTAATCGATTGAAAGATGTAGTTTGGATAACATTCTAAACCCTTGAATTTCGAGGAAGATGCATTTGATTTCCCATTGTAGAAGATTATTAGAAATGATATGTCTATATTCAAAATTCTCATCATACCAAACAATCTGCCGTTCTGTTGAAGATCGTAATAAGATATATATCAACAAAGAAGACAAATAAATTGAGCACATTAATTTTAAAATATTATTCTTTATTTCTCGATCAATTGTTTTCTCCTATTTTGTAAAAAACTAAATATTTTTGTGTACTCAAAAAGTGAGTACACCTCTAGAATCGGTCCGTGTGTCCGAGTGTCCGGTCGTTTACACAATAATTCCTGAAAGGCTAAGCCGATTGTCATGAAATTTTTCACACGGTTTAAACTCAACAAGATCTCGGTCGAGTTCGAAGATGAGCCTAATTGGCCGAGCCATTCTCGAGTTATTGCAAAAATACTGATATTTCCCTATGATTTTCTATATTTTTCTCTTTGGGAAAAACGATATAGCATTGTTACTACAACATGGTAGGTAATACATAATGAATCAAGGCGGCTAAATCACCTATATGGTAAACATAATTAAGCACGAGATAGTTGTAATGTTATCGACGATGTCGTTGAGCCATAATACAGGTCTATCTTTCGATTACAAATATGCTACTTCAAGGTTTTCTAGGGCGGAGAACTCGAATGCGTACTCTATTTGCCTCGAATTCCCATTGGTTAAACAATAATCAATATAAATCAAATTACGGAAAAAATCTTTTTCCTAGAGTAAGTCAAGGCGAATAGTTCAAATCTGAGCAGTATTCTAGTCTAGATCCTATCAAATGGGTACAGCCGAAAGAAATCGTCCTTATAGAGAAGATTTTCCATTATAATTCTGATACCGAGATATGCCAGGATGACTCATCTTTCTTATACCCTTTTTGTAGTACACATAACTCTCGAATTAAATCCGAAGTTTCTGCATTTTTTTAATTACATTTATTAATGAGACTTAATGGACATTTTTCTAATTTCCTCTATATGATTATAAACCTAATACATATCTTTATCACTGATCAATAATAACTACCTTCTTTGCTCGAACTATAAGACAAAAATATTGAATTTCTTGAAATATTATTCTATTAACCCTTTGACTTCCGAATTATTTTTTATTGAATTGAATTCAAGTAAATCGTTGAATTAGCCTCTTCTAGACATATTTCGTGTATTCTCACAGGTGCTTGGTCGATTTGCGCAATGTAAGTTATATTGAACTCTATTGGGCTGAATGGAAATTTTAACTGTTGAAGTTTATTAATTACAAAACTTATAGTGTTTTCATGAAATAACAAAAAACAATTTTTTGTGAATTACATTATGAGAAATATAAAAAAAACAGGTTTAGCTTTTTTATACCAGGGAAGTCAAAGGGTTAAGCATATCACATAACTATGCATCAAAAAATATCAATAGAATCAAACAATGAAAAGAAAAAGTTAACAATAATAAATAGGATATGTTTACTTCTTTAAGAGATGGATCGATCGATTGATTGATTATTTTATTTGAAAAACATATCGAACGATCAACTAAAATACATCTCACCATCGTGCCCAAAACATTGGTTGATTGATTGTACAATTAGCAGTTTGCTTATTAAAATTAATTACGATATTTAGATTGATAAAATGACAATTAAAATGCCCAACAGCAGGTTCAGATGTGACGTACAATTCCGCTTGGTAACGATCTTTCTGGTCGAACGTTTCAAGTCTTGTAAGTCGATTAACATGTGAGCATTTAGCCCACCACATGTTACCAGCATAATAAGTATTCCAACCAGCTTTACGAACTCGATCCAAGGCTAGTATAGCTCCACAAGTAGTATAATTTGTGGACAGTAAGAGATTATAGCATAGTTGCCAGTTATCCAAAACAAAATAATTTAATACACCTCTCCAGGACACAACAAAATCTTCGGCATGTGAAGCACCTTTAGAGTGTGCATACCATACTAACGATTTATTGTTATGAAAACAGAATTTCTCTAGTTTCATTAATGTTGGATATTCGTATAGTTTTGTTCTATTATCATGTTCATAAATAAACTTTGAATTAGAAAATATATCGTACGCAGTTTTATTATCATCAAATTTACCTAAGCCGGTAACATAAGTATTTGAACTTGAATTAAATAATCCACTACGAAAAATGATTGTCATTTGTTCATTGACGATATTTTTCCAATTACGACCGACAGTTGAGAAATGATAAAAACCAGCAATGGCAGGAAATCGAGAGTTTTTGAGAGAAATGTGTTTATTTAGAATAATTTGTTTAATTGGAAAAAAACGAAGATATACGAGAACACTACAACTTCCAATAATAGCGATTATAAATAATTTCTTATAAATCGACTTATCCATATTGAAAACGTCACGACTAATATATCCCACAATTATTCATTCTGAAAAATAAAAAGAACTATATATAAAACCTTTGAAAAACAATAAAAGAACCTATGTTTTTATGTCAAATTATGTCTCATCTCTTGTAAACAATAGATGTATATCAAGAGACTGGAACAAATAATTACATGTGTAAATAAGTATTTGTAATCTTCCAAGACCATATTTTTCTTGGTATCACTACTTTAATTATAAGAAATTTCTTGTAACGACGGTGTATAATATATAGCGCACTATATTAATGTTCATATTTTATTAATTATGAAGTTTGAACAGTTTTTACTAAAGCATAATATCTAATGTCTATAGGATCGTTTTAACCATCTTGGATTAACATATATCTACATTTTATGTTATCTTCATGTAGAAAATAAATTGTATACTAAAGATGAATTATATTTGATAGAAAGGTGGTAAAAGACTTTCGACAATTTTTTGTATAGTATAGTGTCAATTGTTTGATTATGTTCATATTTATATTGTTTTGTAATATACTAACGCTGTTGTACTACTTATTTCTACCAGTTTTTTTTCTTTCTCTTCGTTGTCAGCCGTTAACTTTTTCATTGTTGTGACTATCAAATAGTTATCGTTATCTTTTTTTGCCAAGTTCAGCAAGAAAAGAATATCCTATTAGAAAAAACAAACAACTATTTCTTTCTTTATCTATTTGTTGATCGTTCTATGAAATACATCTTATATTGAAATGAATGTAACCTACCTATTTAATAGACAAAGAGTTGAGTATAACACAAATTAGAGCTATAATGTTTGACGGCAGAGTCAAAAAGAAAGTTTTCTTTCTTTGTCACGCATACTTATGAGTAAGTATATTACTTTAAGAAAAAGAAAAAACCTTGTAGAATAAAGAACGGGAAATTTTTTACTTTCTTCAATTGTTTAAAAAAGAGAGCAAGAGAAACACTTAAAAATAACTTTTAACAATAGTTTCATTAGTTATATCATGTGGTATGTGAGAAAATTGTTCCGACTAAGAGGAAAGTAAAACTGTCTTACAACTACATGATTATATCAATTATTCATTAATGAAGAGAATATCAAACGTTTTATTTTTGAGATGTGGGTGTGGATGATGAAGGTAATTATTCATACTCACCGTCAGCATGTTTTGGAGACACTCGATTCTACCTGTATTCATTAGTGTAAGATAGTGTTTTGGTAGATGAAATACCAGGAATGGAAGAAGAATCAATAAAAGTCTAAATTCAACCAGATTAAAGCTTTTTGTAGTGTTTTCAAAATACCACATCACTGTGCGTATTTCTGATCTATTTTGGGTATGATAATAATTTCATTTCTGATTTAAATCAAACGAACATTTGATGATAAAATAAAGTTCAAGGTTAAAAACTCATTCTATATAGTTTTTCTCTTTGAACTATTTTGATAAATGCGACTGATGGATGATGAATTTCGTCGCCAATAAGTTTTTATAGTGTTTAATTTTTGAATAAGATAGACTGATCCTAGATGTGTTCGTTCTAATATTTAAAATTTGTGAACATAATAAAATTTAGCTATAGTTTAATTATTATAAAATAAAATAGTCAAACGTCTTTTAGATAAAGTAACTGTTGAGAAATGAGATGATTAATAGAAGACATGCGATATTTCTAACATTATATGTTCTTTGTCAGCTGGAATTCACTCTATGAATATGCTCGTTTCTCTTTTTGATATTTTCGTATCTCATCTCTTAATTCGAAACCAAGAATTTATGGATATGACTTGATCATCTTTCGATATAAACTTAAATTTGACAAACCGTGTTATTGGTAAAACGATATAATAATCTATATGTGAAATGAAGTTGACAGTAGAAGAGTATTCACTTTTGGAGTAACATGATTTAGTTTGAATAATATTGTAAATCTTTGAATTTTTAAGAAGATTATTAGAAATGATATATCTATATTCAAAATTCTCATCATACCAAACAATCTGCTGTTTTGTTAGAGATCGTAATCAGATGTATATCAACAAAGAAGACGAATAAATTGAATACATTAATTTTAAAATATTATTTCTTATCTCTTGATCAACTGTTTTCTCCTATTTTGTGAAAAACTAAATATTTTTCCTGGTTACATTTATTAATGAGGCTAAATAGACGTTTTTCTACTATTATTGATATGAATATAAAGCTAAAACGTATATTGTTATCACTGATAAACATAAAACACCCTCTTTATTTGAATTGTAAAGACAGATATTGAATTTCTTTACTGGGTATCATATTTTTTGTGTCATTCTATATTCTCTAATAAATATCATTGTATGTCTCTTTTATATAAATAAAGTTTATTTGCTGATACAAAAATAATTCTAAATATAAATATCATTTATCATATATGACTACTTTGGAAATTGTTGGATATTTTGAAGCAGGTTTGCATATTAAAATACTTCGTCTAGCCAATATATTAGTATGATGTTTTGTATTAAATAAACATTTTCTAATAATAAATCTTTTTTTCCATAGAAATAAAACAATCGCTAGAAGAGCAATAATAGCAAATGTAAGAAATAATCCCGCCATAGATTGAATAGTCATCGCTTGTGATGTGTCAGGTATTTGTGCACAAGATGTTGTTTGAAACCATTTTCTTTTTAGATTATCTAATTCACCCGATTCTCTTAATGCTAAAATTTGAATATTTAGAATTTGTTCATATTGCCATTTCTTTTGAAAAACAATTCCAAATGCACTTTGACCAAAATCTTTTCCCATTGAAGTTAAATTACAATAGATTTGATTTGTAATATATTCTAAAATACCCGCATCCATAATTGAAGCATCAATAATATTATTTAAAAGTTTATCATAAATTTCTTCTTTATTTTTAATTGGATAAAAATTATGAATTCCTCCCGATATTTCTCTTAGATAATAATCTTCAATTGCTGATCCAAGTAAAATTCCAATTCGACTAAATGCAACTTTTCCATTTTTAATATCATCAATATCCGTGACAATATCTTTTGATTTTGATATTGTTAAATCAGAAGCTAAATTAGCAGTATATGCCGCAACTAAAACTAAACTTAGGATATATAAACCAATAGTTAATAATCTTCCAGCAGGTGTTTTAAGATGAAAATCAGCACCATAACCAAGAATTGTTCCTATGGAAAACCATAAACTCATTGCGATTAAAGAAATAATTGATTTGTTTTGTAATAAAGGATTATCTTGTTTTTCTAATAAACAAATTAAAAATGTTGAAAATAAACAAGCGCCTAATAAAGTTAACCATAAATGAAATGTAAATGGTGTTAAATATAATAAAAGATTGACATCATCATCTAAATCTTTTCTTATAATAATTCTTAATGAATTATCAAAAATTGAATTTGAAAAAGAAACTTTTTAACTTCTTTTCGCTGTTATTGTTGTTTGTGCAATAAATAAATCAAATTGATTATTTGAAACTGAATTTATAATTTGATTAAATGTTTGATTTGTAATTAATGTTAGATTTGGAATAAAACCCATTTGATTTGTTAATAAATCAATAAGATCAGGAATATAACCAATTAATTTCGTTTCATTCGTCTCTTCTTTCATTTGTTGTGTTAACATTGTAAATGGTGATGTTTGAATTAGAGCAATTCTTAAATTAATTCCTGACAATGATGGATATTCAGATGGAATAATTAAAGAATTTCCAGGCCATATAATCAGACTTGTGGGTGAATATAATGTCCAATTTGTTGTCGAAGACCAAATTAAAACAGGAAGAAAATTTAAATGATTTGAAATGATTTGAATATTTTTTAAAATATAATTTATTCCCTCAATTCGATCTGTTTGATTTTGATTAAATTGAATTTTGCCAGTGACACCAAAATAATCTAAATTATTAATGAGATCAAATAATTTGTTGGAATTAATAAAATATTTATTAAAACAAAATGAATTATTCAGAAATTGAATACACGCAGATGAGTTGGAATAAGTGGAACATAATTGTTTTAATGATTGAATTAATAACCATGTTGCATCAAATGTAAATAATGCATAATAATCAACATAATTTATTCCAGGAAATGTTTTCGATTCATATTTATTCCAAATGTCATAGGCTTGATTTAATAAAGTTTGATTAATATTATTTAGATCAATAAATGGTTCAATAAGAATTAATCCATTTAATTTATTATTCGATGTTGATGTTGATGTTGATGTTGATGTTAGATTGTTGAGTGAAGTTAATGAAATATTTGAAGTTAATAACCAAATAAATTGTGGACTAAGAATATCTAAATCAATAGCATTTTGTAGAATAAGATTTGTATAATTTCTATTTGTCCATAAAAGAACAATTCTTGATGAACTTGTTAATAAAATATTTTTGAAATTATTATTTTCAATTGATTCAGTTAGAACATCAAATAGAATTTTATTAATTATCGTTATATTATAATTATTAAATATTTTATTGATTTCATTGATTCCATTGATTCCATATTGATCATTTTGATAAATAATATTACATGATTTCCAATTGAATTTAAGAAAAAGTTGAACAATAGCTAATGCAAATAAATTATCTGATGATATTGTACGATAAAATGATGGATAAATTTGATGATTTGATAATTTTGGATCAGTTGAACTGTATGATATGATTGGAAGACCTATTTTCTCAGCAAATGGTGCAAGAAAATGTGATTCTTTTGAATATGCTGGTCCAATAATTCCAATGATATTTGATGAAGATATGATTTGACATGTATTGGAAAGAATATTTATTAGATTATTATCCGTTGAAAATATTTCATAGTTTATAAATTCTTGTTGAAGTTTGATATTATTTTGTTGAGAAAGAATTATTGCTGATTTAAACATTGCTTCACATTGAATTGATAATGTTGTTGGAGTGGAGTTATTTAATTGATTTGGAAAAAGACCTAAGATTTTGATGGATGAAGAATTTATTAATGGCCATTCGGTTTTGATAGATTTGATTAGAAACTGAATTAATATTAGATTTATTAATAAATATGAAATATTTAATAAAAATAACATTGAAATTTATTTTGCACTAAAATATTGAATAAATCTAAAAATAAGATGAAAATAATTTATATCTAACTTCGTATGCATAAAGCTGTTGCTTTTCTCTCAAAAATGAAATAAATAATATTATTAAAGAATAAATCCTAAATTCTAAATTACAAATTATTTAATGTATAAAATTAAAATAGAAAAATCTATTTATGAGAAAACAAAACATTAGCTCATCTCAATAATATAAGAAAATATTTTTGCATGAAACTATTTATTGTACTTAGAGAATATTTCATCATACATACGTACATACATGGGTTTTCTTTTTCCTTCTAAATATTGCAGTAGAATGAAAATGGTTTAATAATATATTTAAATAGTGTATTAAATAACAATATGGAATATTCACAAATAAATAACATAAAAATGATTGTTAAATGATTCTCTATGAAAAAAAACAGATTTATGAATAAGAAATAAATGTGAAAATAATATTTGTAATATAACGAATTATTTTTGTAGTCTTATGTCTTTGTAGAAATGTTAAGAAGAAGTATTATAGAATTAAATATTCTGTTATCTCAATATTCAATATTGTATTTACCTGAATATCTAACTTTTTGAACAACTTATTATCATGAAAATAAAGTAGACTGATCAGTGGTTGTCGATTTCGATTCATTGGTAGGATGTGTATGAATGCCAATTGATTATCATGCTATCACATCCACGTCTTCACTCATCCTCAAGATTTAGAATCAAGTTAATTTATGGTTATTTTTATTTTGTATTCACTTATCAAGAAAAAAAATCATTTTCAACATTACATTTAACTTTCTATTTCAAAAGAAAAAACAGTTTATTTTCAAAGTATAAAGGTTGAGATTTTATATATTGATATTATTCTGTTCTACTCTTATACATTACACAATTTAGAAGTTCATATAAAACTACAATACTTGTCATATTTCCCATGAAAATGGGTTTTAGTAGGAAATACATCTGAAAGTATTTTAATACACAATATAAAAATTTGAAAAATATATCATGCAGAACTCATCTCATATTTGAACTAAAACATACTAGCTTAAAATCTTTTCTCATTCAAAATAAAATATATTTCAATGACATATACTTTTTTAAAGTAAGTTATCGCATACATGACATGCTTTAAAAATTCTTTTTTTTTTCAAAATAATTTTATGATTTTTTTAATCGTCTATACTAAATGTGATTAATATCAAGAAAGCTTTTTAATTGTAGTAATCACTTATTAGAAAAATCTAATGAATAAATAATTATTCATAAAATTTATTTAGTAGATTAAATGTGATAAAAATTGTTAATCATATAAGTAATATTGTATACCTGAAAACTAATGTGATATTGTCTCATTCTTATTCTTACAAACATGAAAGAAATGTAAATTCTATATGTTATGTTTAACAAATTTTTTTTATCTATTTTACCGTTGTCTGGACGTCCTTTGTTGAATAGTTTAACAAAGTGTAGATAAATAAAATATGTGTAGACCGACAATTGCGATCACGTAGTTAAACTTTCTCGAGCAACAACTTTCAGAGTAAAATCAGGTCTGAAATATGAGAAATAAACACGTATGAACATGCTGAGAAATATGATCGCATTTCAACGCAACTAAAATAATTAAGACACGTTAAGAGATGGCTCATTTTTTGTAAATCCGTTTAAACTATCTATATCATTATATATAATCTATATCCTATCCTTTTCTTTAGAGTGTAGGCCTTTCAGAGTCTCTCGATTTATATAATAATATAAGTAAAAGGATCCTCAACCTTCCCTTTATTCGAGTCTTAAATAAAAGTGCTAGAATGATAAAGTGTTTTCCGATGATAAAGATCGAGTAATCTAGAATACTAGCAATAGTTTAAGCGGTTAAGATATCGGATTAGTGTGGGACGTTAGAATAGGAGTGCTGTTTGTTGTTTGCATTATTAAGTCTTTCCGTAAGATGTTCTAAGAAACGGATCTTACTGCTAGATCTGTAGACCTCACATGTTTTTCTTCTTTCTATTGCAAAAATCTTTTATATAAAATTAAGTATTACAGCATACAATCACTGTAAATATATGTTATTATCACATGCAATGAATTCTCATTGTAAAATATCAATTTCTTTTAGAGATATTTTTATTCTCTGGATATCTGTAAATATATTATTCATTTATATTTAATCAGTCTTTTCTTTTGTTTATAATATAAATAATTCAATTCTATAGGGTTCTGATAGAAGAATCAGAATAATAGGTTTGTACGTGCAATAAAAGTATATCAATACGGTTGATATTTCTTTCTTTTAAGATAACTATTCTGAACTCCAATTGTATCAAAAACGAAATACAAATTATTTGAGTTGATTTAGATAGGTATATATGACTCATATTGATATTTGATAAGATTCAATTATTATATATCATTGAAACGGATTTCTAAAAACTTGTCTTGTTATCTTGTTGATTTTTTACAATAAATAAATATATTTGTTTTATTTTCAGTAATAATACAAAACTGTATTCAATCAATAGCAAAACTGAAATAGTTTATGAAAATTTGATACAAAAATGGTTTTACGTCGTCGCTCTAAACGTCTTAAGTTAAAATACTTAATAGCTGTGACAATTATTAGTTCTCTTAATTTAATTGTTATCATTTTTGTAAGAAAATATTTGAATTATACTTCATTGCCATCAACATCAAGTACAACAACCTCGACATCTTCAACAAGTATTACTCATTTTTTATCGGAAACTTCTATAGATTCAACTCATCTTCTATTGACATCTTCGATAATTGGTTGTCGTCAATTCCCTGCGTATAATAATCGTTCGTTTTATGAACGTGAATATCCTCAATTAAATTTACCTAAACGAATATCGAATTTATCATATAAAAATATTCTTCATCAACTTCATTCACTTCGATTAATTATTATATCATGTGTTCGTAATGTTGCATCTAAAATTGATAAATATCAAAAGCATATTGAACCAATTCTTGATCTTTTTCATCCATCATCTCGTATACTTATTTTTGAAAGTGATTCAAATGATAAAACAGTAGAAAAACTTTATCAATGGTCTCGCGCACAAGTTTATACATATGGAACACTATCAAAAAAATATCCAGATACTACCAAGCGCCTTGCTTATTGTCGTAATATACTCCTTGATAAAGCACATAGTTTAAAAGCTGATTATATCCTTATTACCGATATAGATATATTTTCAACGACTGTTTCTTCTTTTCTTTCAAATTTTCAATATAATATAAATGATTGGTCTGTAATGACAGTCTCATCGAGTGGTTTATATCATGATATTTGGGCATTACGTACATTATCGAATTCAGTTATGAATTATGATGTATGGAATCGAATAGAAAATTTAGAAAAACCTAAACATAACTATTGTAAACAATCACTTATTAAATCAATTATTGGTATTCATCAAAAACATATTCCAATTGAACGTGGTTTGATTGAAGTACGATCAGCTTTTGGAGGTGGTGGATTATATAGAGCAAATTCAACATATCAATGTAAATATAATAGTAGAAGTTCTACTTGTGAACATGTACCATTTCATTTATGTATACGAGATATGAATGAAGCAAGAATATTCATTAATTCTCAATTTCAAATTGTTTAAAGTCAAATAGTTTTGATATTCTTCTTTTTGCCTCTACTTTTGCTTTCGATATGATCTCTCTCATCTACTTGATAAATGAAGCAAATTATAATACCTTTCAATTCTTCCTCAAACTATAAAGCTTACTGTATGTATCGTTTCATATCTATTTTTACAAAAGTTTACATTCATTCAAATTCTACAAGACTTTTTGAAAATAAAAGTATAATAAATCAGAAACAAAACAATGCATTTGATAATTGATACTCTATTCTATGAGAATCTCTTCAAGAACTAAGAAACGAAAGGTGCATATATATGTATTTACATACGATCTTATGTTATCTCATTAGAAGTAATAATTAGTCATGAATTGAAGCAAACGACATTTTTAAAAATCATTTCTGATGGATGTTAAATCGATGGCTGAGATACTCAGAAAGGACATGAGAGCGTACGTGTGTGTACGAGTCTTAATAAAAGAATTCCGCATATTTATATTTCATTCAAATTAATATCCTTGATTATCATCTATATCCACACTCTCATCCTTCGGCAACCATCAAGTAGTTTCAAACTTCAATGTTTATTGTTTTACTTATATGTTGATACAACAACTCGAAACCTTGTTTTTTTCTAGCTCGACAATTCAACAAAGAAGCAAAAGCTATTGTGTAGTATCTTTCTTTAGTTTTTCTGTCAACAAAAGATAAGAAGTAAGATATCATGAAGCTTTTTTTTAATTTTTTACCTGTTTCTATTTATGAAAAGACAACATTTATGCATTCAAATTTACTTGCTGGCCTGATGCACGAAGATCAACTTTTTTTGTTATGTTCAATAATATTTGGCAGTGTTATTGCCATTATTATCATGATTTTCAGTTTTTCTTCATCGTATCTCAAATGTACCATCAAGAGATTTATTCAAATTCAATTACGCAAGCGATTAATTGATCCAAATTCACGTCCGTCTGACAAAAGTCCGTTCATATCCTACTACCAAAATTCTCTCTGTCATCTACAGAAGGTTAATAATACATTATTGGCAAAAATTCTTCGAAAAAATCATTTATGTGCATTCTTCGTGGATCGATCAATTTCATTTCTATCTTTATCTCCACAAGAAGAAGGAAATACATTGATAGATGAATTTCGAGAAAAAGTTCCACTAACAACCTATGAGGACTATCGTGATTATATCGATAGAATAATCGAAAAAACAGAAAAGAATTTGCTTACGACTGATAAAATCATTTATTTTGCAACAAGCTCTGGAACTACAGGAAAGATAAAACATCTTCCTATAACTTTAGAAATGGCGAAAAACTATAGTATGATAGCACGCTTTGGAACTTCTGCAATTTGGAGATCAATTCCAGCGTCATTTCCTTCTCCAGAACAGCGATGGTTTCATTTGTATATTGGAAAAAAACCCGTAATGTTTCCAAAATCAAAAGATGGTACGCCAATGGGTCCATTAACTCAAATTTCTTCAGCGGTTTCCTATAGTATGGTACTGAAAACTCTCATGTCTACTTTCAATACTGTACCATTAGACTTGGTTGAAAGAATAGCAGACTCTACAACAAGTATCTTCGTTCAACTCGTCTTTGTTTTAGCAGTTCCAAATATATTCTCCTATTCGATTATCTTTGCTCCAGCATTCATTCACACGATCAAGATTATCGAAGAATACTTTGAAGAAATGAGTCTGTGTATTTCCTCAACCAATTTCGATCATAGTTTATTTGTTCGAGACAATATTTGTGATCTGAAATTCAAAGCAGAGTTAAATCGTGCATTGAATGAAGTGACTATAGAGTATGGAGGGTTAAAATACCGACAAGAACGTGCTGAACTTATTCGAAAAGAATGTCTTAGAAAAAATGAACCGGGTATTCTACATCGTCTTTGGCCAACTTTAGCTTTTGCATCTACTACTATAGGCGCTTCTTTTACTATGTATAAAAACGAAATTCAATATTATTGTGGAGAAAAATTACCTCTTATTAATATGCTTATTTACTGTGGTAGTGAAGGATTCTTTGGATCACTCGCCAGTATTCATACAAACGAATACTTTCTATCGCCAATATCTACCTTCTTTGAATTCATCAAAGAAGAAGACATCCATCAGGTTTATTATCTTTTGTAAATTATGAGACATTATAATCTTTTTTTGTTTGTTTAGTCTCAACCAAAGACTGTTCTCATCTCCGAAATAATGCCGGGAAATCGATATGAACTGGTTATTACAACTGAAGCTGGATTAGTTCGTTACCGAATGGGAGATGTGATTGATTGCACACGATTTCTTTCACGAGCAGATGATGTGATTCCATTACCAGCAGAACCAGCAGAAATTCCTCGAATACCTCTTATTTCAGTAGCATATCGTGTAGGAAGTCTTTTAGATGTGTTTGGAGAGAAAACAACGGAACAACATGTCATGCATGCTCTCAAGGAAACTGTTGATCAATGGAAAAATCAAGGAATATATGTAGACTTATGTGATTTCACTGCTTATACGAAATTAGACGATTTTCCAGCTAAGTATGTTATCTTCTTGGAATTGACCAATGAACAAGGACATGAGATTGACGATCAACAGCTTCAAATTCTACAAAACAATGCAGATTCAGAAGTCGAACAACAACTTTGTAAAGTGAATGATGGCTATCAATTAACTCGAAAGGTACATAAACTTGGTCCACTTGTTTGTATTCTGGTTCGAAGTGGTACATTCTCGATTTTTTTAAATAAAATATTAGTGACTGGTCGTGTAACTCCTCTTCAAATCAAACCTCATCGATTATTGAAGAATGAGGAACATATTCATTTTTTTTATAATAATCAAATTTGTTCTCCTTCGCTTTAATTATAATACTTTTCGCCTTCAAACGATAACAGGATGTGGGTGTATGAAACTTGTATCTTTGTTCATCTGTTACGTCCACACCCTCGAGTGTTGCATATATAATAAAAATTATAATGGGTAATATAAGAGTAGTAAGAAAGGTATAATATGATAAAAAAAACCATCAATAAATTAAGAAGATAAAGTAGCAACTCATTCAATAATAATACAAATCCATAAACAAATATTTAAATGAAAAAAATGTTTATTTGCACAAATAATCTGCTAATAATAATAACACAATGTGCATATATCGACTGACGTACACTTACGTTTCAATACGAGAAGGTAAAATATTCGATATATGAAATAGTTGTTGAATATTCATTAATAATATAATAAAACTAAATTATATACTTGTAAGACATACATTTATTGTAAACTAATTAAATTTATTATTACAAAATATTGATCGAATAATTATCAGAACTATTCGAGATAATGTTAATTATTATTTCTTATATTTTTTTTGTCTATTGAGTAATTAAAATAAAATCAAAAAGATAAAAGAGATTCAATATAATTCTTCATTACTTATATATTGTTACACATTTCGTAAATAACAAATGCATTGTATACTGGTATATCCAAAAGATGGAAGAAAGTGATTGTATTGGAATGCATTAGAGTAAAAAATATGTACATCATTATACAGAACGAAGAAAAACAGACAGAACACAGATATATGATATCTGACAAGTAGAGAGAAAAGAAAGAAGGATTGCATTTGTGTGACATCATTTAATAAACGATAAAAAGATGTTCTAAACCATAAAAGAGCATATTAGAGACATCTTTGTTAAATAACAGCGTCAAAATGTATATATACGTCACTAGGACTCAAAGGATTACAGTGTTGAAAATGAAAAAGTTCTGGATTAAACAAATCTTATCGTAAACTATAATTTATTTTCTAAATATTTCACATCTTACAATAGAAAATAAGTAACTATGCTACGTTATTTTTTATAAATGCATTTACTCATTATATTATTGAATCAAACAACTAAAAACACAAAAACATTACCATGTGACAATCATTCATATTTTCTTTCTTGTTTTTTTTTCGTTCGATTCTGCAGCAGAGCGATTGACGATAATATTGATGGATATTGTCATTCAATACGTCACATTATGGTAGAAACAACAAATCCTATACGAAAACAAGCAAGTAAAAGAAGAAATAAATATCTTGTAATATATATACATTCATATTTTCATTATTATTTCTTAGTTTAAACTCGTAAGATAAAGATAAAGATGATATATATGTATTTATCCACTTTTATTATGTTAATTTATAAATATTGTAGAAAATAATGTCTTCACAGTCGATTCCTATTTATAGACGACCATTATTTTCAACATCAACAGTTCATGATGATCTATCTGATAATTATGACATTGTTATTATATTTCATTCATCACAGGTTAGTTTTTTCTTTAATTAATAACATGATTTTTTTTCTTTTCTAGAATTTCTCAAAGACGAATATGATCGGATACGTTAATCCATATTTTGTAGCAACAATTGATGATCAAATATCATTCACGTAAATATTCTTATTTTGTATTTGATAATAATATAATAAATTCTAGATCAACATTCAAGTGGAATGATGAAGAATGGATAATTCGAAATACTCCTAGGAATGCAAAACTTTTAGTTAAAATTTATAATAAAAATGAGAAAGGATCTGATGATAATTATATTGGAGAATTTGAAATATTAAATATAATTAATTATGACGCTCCTCCAAATGGTCATATCATTATTGATTCATATGGTCAATATAAGGGACATTTTCATTTATCTATCGATTCAAAAAAATCATCGAATGAAAGTCAACAATTATCTCGTTATACATTCGATGGTCCTTGTCGATATTCTCGTTATGATTTTCTACCTATTAATCATCATACTGAACGTATCTATTCAACGTGGACAGTACAATTACGACGTATTTTATCTTATTTTCCTTCTGATAAACGTCAACAATGGAATCGTCAGTATAAACCAGTTCAACAAGTAGCTTCCGATTATTTAGGTATATCGACTACGCACAATATGATGGCATTAGGTCAGAAAACATTCAATGAGAAAACAGTAAGACATGATGAAAATGGACAATTGAGAAGTGCTGATGATTTATGGAAGTTGGTTTTAATGGATAAAACAATACAGCAAATAAGACCACGTATTTATACTTATATAATTGATGATACAACATGGCAATTTACAGAAATAGATCCTCGAGTATTTGCTGATTCTACAATTAAACATGCTCGATTAGCTAATTGGTCTGAATATATTTGTTATGCAGGTGAATTTCATCTTCGTCCTAAATTTGGTTGGACTAAATTGAATGATGAATGGGAATTAGTATTTGATAATGCATCAGGAACATATTCACCAAACGCTGAATTATTGATTAATTTGAAAAAACTCTTATTATTTAATTTTCCTGGATTGAATATTACCACGTATGATTACAAAGATCCAATGTTAAGAGATAGTATTGAACAATTAGAAATAATTGCACGAAGATACAAGAATATAGGAAGACAAGAACAATAATAGCTAATATTTTTTTTTCTGTTTCATTTATCATCAGCGTAGGATGATTATAGTATATTCTCAAGATAAAATAAATCATTGTGATATTTTAGTCATAGTTTTAATTATTATCAGGTGTGGATATAGGTAAATGATAATCATAATACTCACACCCACATCCACCCTCAAGATGGTTGCGCCTACTCATACTCTTGAGATTGTTCGATTTATCCCAGTTCTTTTCTTTGTTACATTCCCTTAAATTGTACGAAACTCTTTATCTAATAAAATAAACACTTATTTGTTTAAGTCAATGTTGTTATCGATCTAAATAAAATAATTCTATCCCTACCCGTCGGTTTTTGTTACAAAATACGCTAATGATAAGCTTTACAAAAATAAAAACTCCCTCGTTTGCATCTGTATAGTTTTTAATGACTAATCGAACATGTCGTGAGTCAAGAAGGTTGTGAAAAAAAAAATGTTGTTATGCGTAATTTTTTTGTTTTTGTTGTTTACACATCATAACTAATACAACTCTACGCAGTTTCATTTCATCATTTTTTTTCTTACTAACAAACCTGAAATTAAACACCCACCGTGATGTCTATTTATAGTATCCCCTCATTTCTGAATAAGAAAAATTTCCGCAGTAAAGTATTCTGAGCGACGAAGAGAAAAAAGAAAAAAAGTACAATAACAACATGTGGAGTATAAAAAGTAAAGAATAAAACAATGTTTCATTGCATCATTAGGTTTGCATCATTTTTTCGTTATTGCTGCGATGAATATAACGAAAAGATGGAAGAGAAAAAACTATTTGCCTTTACTATATGCTTATTATTTATTTCGTATCATTGTGAATAATATTATTAATCAAATTAAGAAGATTCGGTAAAGTATATTAAATTTTTATTCTATAAATAACGATGAATTGCATCAGATTCTACAGAAATAATTTTCTTATTATTGTAAGACACTTCACACATTTTCGAACTGACACTATGTCATCAGCGTATGTTATGATGAAATTTTTTTACTTCTTTCTTCCATCGAACACATTCACTTGCATCACCTATTGATTAATATTGATTGTGCATATTTCAGATAACTAGAGAAGCACTATGCCTTGTCCTTATGCTCAATTAATCGTCGATGATACAAAACACATTAACGACAGCAGTGACAGTGATACTAGCATTGTGGATGAGGTACTGATCACAAAAACAGCGGTGAATGGTACTGGCAATCACCATCAATCGATCAATGAACCATTAAATTACGCGACATACTTGCGTACAGATTTATTGCTGTCTGCATTGAAGTGTCTCAGTCATACGGATCCTTTGGATAACAACAGTCCACCTGTTCATGATGAACATTTTTTCATCTTGATTCATCAAGGTAATTTGAAATAAAAGGTCTTTATTCAATAAATATTTTTTTTTAGTTTTTGAACTATGGTTCAAACAAATTTTGTTTGAAATCGATTCGATCCGACACATCTTCACCAAGAGTGATAATGTTATACCGTCTCTATTCAACATTAACTTACGATTAAAACGATCAGTTAAAATTTTGAATATATTAGTCGATCAATTTGAATTGCTAGACTCGATGACACCCATAGAATTTCTCGAATTTCGTGGTTATCTCAGTGCAGGCAGTGGATTTCAAAGTCTCCAGTTTCGTATTATTGAAATGAAACTCGGTTTGACCGACCGATTCCGAAGTTCCTTCAAAACAAAATATTTCACTGGAACAATGTTTAAAGGTGAACAAAATGTCGAGTTAGAACAAGCTATAAACGAAGAATCATTATTGATTCAAATCGAGGTAATTTCTAAGATCATCGTTCTAATAGATGACAACCTTCATTCTATATTATTTAGAGATGGTTGGAAACCATTTATGATAATACATCGTTCGATTTTCTTACCGTATTCACATCGTCTGTAGAACATTTTATCGAGCACGGAAAGAAGCAGAAAATCATGGTAAGTGATGATTAACAGTCAGATCGAATCTTTGTTTTTTTTATGTTGATAGAATGGTATTGCTGTCGAAACCGCTGAAAGAGATGTAGAGACATCGAAACGACTATTTGCAAGTATGATCGATTCAAGTGAATATCAAAAACTACTGAATAACAATGAACGTCGAATTAGTCATAAGGCGATGTTAACCGCACTAATGATTTCACTCTACCATCAACAACCTTGCTTTCAACAGGCTTATCAAATGCTCGGCTTACTCATGGATGTCGATGCTCTGATGGCGAGCTGGCGTTGTATGTATAACAATTTTGTATATATTGAAAACTGACCGCATTTATATATCATCAATAGATAAACATATGCTTTTGGTTCAACGTCAAATTGGTCGTAAACCAGGCACAGGAGGCACTGGTGGTTTCTCTTATTTGCAGCAAACTATCACGTAAGTACGACAATTATTTGATAAGAGTTACTAATTAAGAAGCAAGACAAACAAATAAATTTTTCATAGGATATTATCTCGTATTGTCTTCTTTTTCTCTACTATAGTGAAAAATATCAAGTGTTCGCCGACTTATTTAATGTTTCGTCATATTTAATTCCTCAAAGATTCTTACCGAAATTTATTGATAAGTCCATTCAGTCGACTCAATCGTTATCTTCAATTGCACTTCAGCCTCATCGAGAAGTGCCGGTTGTTTATCATCATCAAACATCCACGATACGAGATCAATCTCTGCAAAACTCAATTCATTATAATCAAATTCTCTTCTTCTTGTGTCTGTTCGTAACAGGATGGATTTTCGCTACATTCACCAATCGTTTTCTATCTTGATAACTAGATGTAATTTTTTCTTTTCATAGGTGTCATTATACTATCTCAGAATTCTCAACTATAATAATCTGATCATTTTTATTTCTTTTATTCTATATTCTGCATTTGTTTGATAATAACTTCTCATTTATTTAAAAATAATAAATAATACTGAATTATGTTGATTAACAGTAGTGACTCATTGGCGATAATATGAAAAATGAAGATAGACAGGGTGTGGGTGGATATGAGCGTAAGTGTCATTGATGAATTAAGACTACACCCACACCCACCCACCCTCAAGCTTCAATAGAATGAAGAAAAGAAAAATGAGTTAATATACAATACTTAAATTAAAGTACAATAATATTATTTAAGAATTCATATATTGTTTGAGAAAATAAAAAATTATAAATATTCGTTTTTTTATTATTCATATTTTTCTATTAATAATAAATGAATTAATATAAAATATTCATTCTTTTAAAATATAAAATATTTTATATAATAACTGAAAAAATAAATCTTATTAATTCATCTATAATGATCAATATGTCAAAACTATTTCCTAAACATTGATTTCCTCTTCTACCTTCTTCTATAGTTTATGTAGATTTATCATTAGATCAAAAATTATGTTTAGATATTTTTCAAACTTGTCGATTTTTTAAAGAAAACAAGTGTTTTTGGAAAATGAGGAAAAATAGATCTATTGATTTTGTCTAGATATTCGTAAAGAAGTAACCATAATGAAGATATGGATTGAATCTCTTGTTTGCAACTTAACAGCAAAAAACGTTTTTGGTAAAATAATTGATATAAGCTTGAGATTCTATATAAATATCTATAAAATAATGAGCTTTTTTCTCCTTCTCGTAGAGAAGAGTCCAGCAGAAATAAATCGTTTTGCTTGCTTGTTGTGTCCTCAGGGTCAAAAAAACATCGAAGACCAATTTTTCGGAAAAGACATTTCTAGAGGTGTTTCGATGCGGAGACTACGAATCCGAGGTCTGTTGGGTGACCATGGTACGGGGGTGGGTGAAAGGTCAAAAAAACATAGAAAATCGATTTTTCTAAAAAGACATTTCTAAAGGTTTTTCGATGCGCAGAGTTCGAATCTGAGGTCTGTTGGGTGATCATGATGAAGGGGGAGAGCAAAGCGTGTACATAGATCAAAAAAACATCGGAAACCTATTTTCCACGGTTTCCAATTGTTTTTCCAGTAAATGTGAAGACGATGCATTTCTACGAGAAAGAGCTAAGCGAGTTCTCGGGCGAGCGTTACTTGTTTTCTAGATTGATTTAATCAAAGAGTTTTAGAAATTTCTAACAAACATTTATCTTCTCTTATTAAATTTTACATTTAATGAAAATTAAAATTAAAAACAGAATTAAAAAAAACAATAGAATTAAAATAATTTATCTAATTTAATTAATCGAGTCATTATTTATGAATTTGTTAATGTTTGTTTATCTTTACTATCGAGTGTATTTATATTAACTAATGATTGTTCAATAGAATTTTGATTAGAAATATCAAGTTGAATTTTTTGATTGATTTGAATATTATCATGAATTATTCGATTTGAATCCTAATAAAAAAGAAAACAAAAAATCAAGAATTATTTATATAAATAAATTACTTCAAGTTTCTTCATAAGTACAGCAACAACAACATTGAGAAGAACAAATTGAGCCATAAGAATAAAAATAACAAAATAAATCGGTGAAATAATTGTGATAAAATTATATTTATTAGTATAAGATAAATCATCTTGACGTAGAGTATCCTATAAAGATAATATTTTCTTTTTTTGTTTTCTTTTAAATTATTTATTTTACTTTCATAATACTATTCCAATTATCACCTGTTGCAATACGAAATAATGTTAATAGAGCCATGCCAAAATTTTGAAAATTTGCATGTTTATCAATAGCACTACATAATTGTTCTTCATTACATTCTAATCTACCAAATAATTCCACTCCAAGTGTAGCAAAAATAAAAAAAAGAAGAAAAAATAAAAAACCCTAATTGAAAAAAAGAATTTTTTTTAAAAACAAAAAAAATATCAAATTATTTTATTTACTAAATTTCCAATTTGTGGAAGAGTTTCAATAATAGTATCTAATAGAGCTTGAATACCTTTGGCAATTTTTAATAATTTAAGTACTAAAATAACAATAAAAACTTCTTATTTAATAGATTATTTTTTAAATTTGTTTACTTCGTGTAATTCTTAATACTCTCATAATACGAACTAATGTTGGATTTATTGGGATAATATGTTTATTTTTCATTTTTTCCATTACAATACTACCTATTGATAAAACTACAATAAAGAAATCTAACTGATTCCATCTTAAAATAAAAACAAAACAAAAAAATATATTTCAAAATTAATTGTTTTTTTTTCTTACTTATCTTTAAAATAACGTGATGGTCCAAATGCGATTATTTTCCATAGAAATTCAATTAAAAAAATAACTGTAAAAATATAATTACAACATTCAAGAAATTCTGCCAATGCCTAAAAATAAAATTTTTACTCTATTAAAACAATATTATTCACACCTTCAAGATGCTTTTATTCTAATACATATTATTGTTGCATACGGTGAGAAGTAATGACGAAAAATCTCACTCAGAATGGATGAAAATATCTAAGTAATCTCTTTGGGGTGACAGGACGCACAAGGACATTTGACTTACAGAGCTAAATTGGATGGTTGGACAATAGGCACGTCCACAGAAATTTTTTTCGGGGGGAGGGGATTGACGACTTTGCAGAAAAGTCTATCATACGAAAAGGTTATTCCAGATTGTTCGGCCTGTACTCCCCTCCAGGTATTTCAATTTTTTTTCAGGAGGGGGGAGGGTCGATCTCACTTCTGCCGACGTCCCTGTTGGATGAAAAGGTCCTGTGGTTGGTCGACGCTGAACCCTGGCTATGCCACTATTCGTATGAAGTGCAACTGAAAAAAACTATTGAACTCTATCTAGTTTTAATATTATTTTCTGTTTAAATCAAAAGATTTGTCAGATTCTAAAAATAAAAATTTATTAAATAATTTCTTACTGGTGGCATCGAATAATATTCAACTGACATTGTGATAATATTAAGAATAATAATAATAGCAATAAATAAATCAAAATATTTGTTAATAAATAAATCATGTAAGTTTTTGCGAACTGTTGAAAAATTTGCATAATATGGTAAATCATCTTTAAGATGTTGTTGATGTTTAAGTTTTTTTTCACGTTTTAATTTATTTCGAGCATCTTCTTCAATTTCTTGTTGAGCTCGACAATTATGAAAATTTTTAACAACAACACCAACAAACATGTTAAGAACAAAAAAACTTACAATTAAAATAAATGATAGAAAATAAATTAATTTAACTTCGCTATAATTTTTTATTGGTTGTTTATCAACATCAACAGCATCAATACCATTATACATTATTTGTACCCAACCATCTTTTGATGATAATACAAATAATGTTAATAAAGCCTAAATAAAAATAAATTATTATATAGATTATTATTTTTAATAATATGACTTGGCCTAAATTATCAAAATTATATTGTTGATTTTGCCATTGATGATCAGGCATAGCTTCGCATTCGTCTTTTGTTCTTACATCGTGAGCAAGAGGTCCTTCACAATAGTAGAATTTACCTTTGAAAAGCTAGAAAAAAGAACAATTTTAAAAGTATATAAGGAGATCGATTATTCTATATCAGTACAAAAATCAATGACTTCTCATATTGAATTTAGGGATTTTATAAAAGATCGAATATGTATTGAAAATCAGTTAAACTCTTAGTATTTAATGAAAATATAGTAATAAGATAAATGCGCTAATATTTAGTGGTTAAATAATCTGATGCAAAAGCTCTAAAAATAGGATGTGGGTGTGAATATGAAACCATATTCAGATTCGGACCGATAGAAGACGTTTTTGCTGCTTGTAAATGAAATTAAGTGCTTAAGAGAGTTATCATATTCAAATGTATCTGCCGGTCCAGTTCGGATGCAAAAACTTGTACCCGTACAGGACTCTAGTTCAGTCCAACTTCAAAATCATGCGGTGTACGATAGGGTTCTTATGAAAAATGATATACAGCTGGTATTATTCCGTTTAAAAATTCGAAAAGAAAATACAAATAATGCTTGTTTATTTCTCTTTTATCAATGCGGAAAAGATTCGTATTCGAATTTCCTTTATTTTGTAAAATCTAAAGTATTTATTGAAAAATTCAACCATCTTAGACTCGAGCTTACTTATAGGTGACTACAGTTCAAAGTCTCCTATCAATTGTTTTATCATCTCTAATATACTTTCAAAGAATATAAAATTTTATTGAATAATTTTAAGTATAAGTCATATTTTAATGTTTTTTCTTAAATATCAATTAGAAGTTTTCTCATTTACCTGAACGCCGAGAATACCAAAAATAACAAAGAATACACAGCAAATAATAACAATATGACCGATGGGTTTCAATGATGAAAGTAAAGTTTGAACGACAAGTTTAAGACCAGGTGCACGATTGATAACTAAAACAGTATCATAAAATAATTAATAAAAAGAAAAGAAAATATTTTTCTAACCTCTGAGTGGTCG